TGAATTCTCAGCCGACTGTCACTCCCAGAAATACTGCAAGTGCTCAACTCGGAGGTCACTCGGAGGACGCATAGTGCAGCGTAGTTCACTCAACACACACCTGAAACTATAGAAACACAACTCTGAGGTCGGTTGAGATCTCTACTTAAGATTTCAGGGGGAAAGTCTCTCACGAGTACATTCAGCGGATCTGCAGGTCGTCACTCCCAACTCCGGCTTCAGCTCGACTGCGCAATCCCAGCCGCCGCAACACCACAATCACCTCCGCCTCAAGGTTTGCCATGGCGTCCAGCGACCTTGACAGATACGCATCTAACTTCTTCGCCACTCGCCGGCGGCTCCAACTGTCACCTGACATCAATCCCGCCGCACGAAGCTCTAACTCGCGCAAGGTAAGTTTCTCCTTCGCAGCCACTTCCCATAGGGTGTAATCTCTGAGGCAGTGGTTGACTCGCTTCACCAACTCTTCCTTCGTGCGATCTGCCTCCCGCCGGCGATCGTCTTCAACCACCACCAATAGCAACTCTGCCTCCGCACGTTGCGCTCTCAATTCGCCGCACTCCGATTGCAGTTTGCGGATTAAGTCTTCATCCGCCTGGCGTGCGAGCTGACACTGTTCTAGCAACCGTGTCTGCCACACGAGCTCCTCTGACAAAATTCTGAGTCTGCTAAGAATCCAGCTCATCCGCGAGCTTCGCTTTCTCCTTGGCAAACTCCTTCTTCGCCTCCTCAAACCTCTCATCGCGCGTCTGGTCGACGACCTTCTGCAGCTTCCGCGAAAGAGCAATGTGGCCACGTAGTGCCTCGTTCTTCAATCGCAGATCCTGGATGTCCCCATCCAAGCGTGCCAACAACTTGCTAGTTCGGACTTTAGTGCGAGTCCGCCTTCGCACTAATTCGACGTAGGACTCAGGGTGGCGGAGGTCTGCGTACTTCGTCACCTTGCAATCGAGATACCTCAACACAAGTACCACCTGCTTGCATAGTGCCGCCGTCGGCGTGCCTGCCTGCCACTTATTGCTCCTCCTCTTCGTCCGAGCCCGATTCTCCTTCTCCATCATCCTCTTAATTGAGGATTTCGGTCGCCACTGAATTCCCTGGCGATTCCCGGGAGTTGGGCTGCGCAGCGTCTGCTTCTACTGCTGTTGCCGCCGCACAGCTCCCTGCCAAAATGTTTAAGGCGGTGGGGGATCCTGTCTTCGACAAGTTCGCACTGCCCGACCGATCTGTCACTACCAACGCCGCAGCGCCGAAGGCGCTTGAGCCGAAGGCACACGTGCCTCCTTCTTCTCCTTGTCGTCTTGCTCCTCTGATGGGTCTTTCGCTGAAGGCGCTTCTGCCGGCGGCGCTCCGCCGAAGGCGTATCGCCGGGGGCGTCTACCGTCGAAGGCGACTCGCCCGAAGTCCTTTGGGCCGAAGGCCCTTGAGCCGAAGGTGCATCTTCCGGCGATTCTTTCGCCGAAGGCGCTTGCCCCAAAGGCTCCCTACTCACAATCTCTTAGGCCGAAGGCCCTTGAGCCGAAGGCGCATTTTCCGCCGGCTCCTTTCGCTTCCTCCGCTGCGCCGAAGGCGAGTCCGCGAATGGTACTTGCGCGGAACATCTATCCGCCGCCGGCACGTTCGTCGGTCCCGCGTGTCGTCTCTCCTGGTCCGAAGGCCATCTTGCTTCCGCCGAAGACGTCCGTGCCTTCGGCGTAGGGAGGTCCGCTAACCTCTCTACCGTCCGCGCGCTCCTATCCTCCTCCGAGGATGGCGAGTCCTTCTCTCCTGAAGCACGCCCTGTCTCCGCGCTACTTGCAGGCAACACGAGCCTGCATGCTTTCTACTTCGGCCGACTGCAGAGCTCGTGAAGTGGCCGCTTCCGTTTGAGAGCATTCGAATCGCGATGTTGGCCCTTCTCTACGTCGCCTTTCCATCACCGCTTCCGCGGCACTCGCGCTGCGAGTGATTTTCCTTCAGCTCTCAGTTGGGCTGGTGGCGTGAAGGCAGGAGTCTCTTCCTCGTCGGTGTCAACCTCGACGTTCTTCTCGTACCGCCCGGGATTGCTGCGTGACAGCAATGGAAATTGAACTCGTTCGGTCGCGGTTAGACAACCCATATACCGATAGAAATTGATTAAGAAGGGGGAGAGGCGATTGATCGATCCCCCTTCTCCTCAAACGCATGCTGTCGCGTTATCTTCTATAGGATGCGAGCCCAATGGATTGGAGCTCCGATCAACGTCAGCTCCACGAATGCCATCTGCCAAGAAGTGATGTAGGTGGTCATGTGCGGCTGCAAGAATTGGAGAAGTGCTACCGCGACATTTCTGCGGTAGCGATCCTTGTAGTCTCTGGTCTTGTACCCGTTCTTGCTGGACTTGCTGCTCTTGAAAAGGGCTGCGAAGGAGATCTCCTCCTCCTTCGTGACCTTGATGCTCTCGCTATCAAAGAGGAGATACCCGTCCTCTCCCGGACATCTCCCCAACACTTGTTCCCAGTCCGCGATGACCCATCGCTCTACGTGTAGTCGTAATCCGCGCGTAGGTTGGTCTCTCTCCTTCTGCCACTCGCGCACCATGTCCTGGCACACGTAATTCCACCCCCACAGGAGGAAATCGAGCTTCACCGCCGTCAGCTTGTGTTAGAAAGCGCGCAGCCCAATGTGCGGAAGCTTCAGCGGAATCATCCGCAGTTGTGTTGCTTTCGACATCGCGTTCTTGAAATTGCACTGCGCAAACTCTCCACTGCTATGCCCAAGCTCCTTGCACGCGGATGCGATCCCTCTGCGAGCTCCGCACTCACTCAATTCCCGCGGTCGCGCACTCAATTCTCTCTCTGCCTTGCAAGTCGCTGCGCGTCGCCTTCTCCTCTGATTTCTCTCTGCCAACTTGCGTGCGCGCGTAGCTCTCGCGAGAAATCGAAAATGCAATTTCAAGAATGAGTCGTCTGCCTTCGGCTCACAAGATTTCATCTTCGACACTTGGCGTGGGGGTCGACCCACTTGATGGCTGCGCCGGCTTGGAGGCGTAACGGCACTCCTCTCGCACGCTTGGCTTCACGCTCCGCCGTTGCACGGACTCACACGCTCAAAAATTGAATTCGATTTCTACCATCGTACTTCGCCGTGGCCTTGTTCGCGCAGCGCCGAGGGCGCGGCGACGGAGGTTTTCGCCTCTGGCCGACTCGCATCTCTGTTCTATCCCGCACCGCCGAAGGCGTTGACTCGCAGCGCCGAAGGCGTACCTCTACCGCCGAAGGTGTTGACTCCCAACGCCGAAGGTGTATCCTTGAAGATGTCCGTCGACGTAGGTGCATCGCCGAAGGCGTTGACCGCAGTCAACTCGTCTTGTCATTTCTATCGATCCCTCTTGTCCCTCCGAAGGCACTTTCTCCGCAAGAGTTCCGTTCCGCCGAAGGCGTACATGTCCGTACCGCCGAAGGCGTTCAGCCGAAGGCGGACCGTACGGAGTTGCTTGCCCCGAAGGCGTTGACCTAATCTTGATGCGCTGGCGCCGAAGGCGCTCGTACGAAGGAGTTCACCCCCGAAGGCGTTGACCTAGGGCCGAAGGCGGCTCGTCCGTCGACCTAGCCCTTCCGCCGAAGGCGCTCCCTCTCAGTATCTTCCAACAATTGTAACTCCTTGATGTCTCATCCGTTTTAAGCGTTCTTGGGATTGTTAGAACGAGCGCGTCGAGCTCTTTCCAACGAGACCCTAACCAAGTCAAGGTGTTATGAATTGAATAAGTTCTGAGGGATTTCCCTAGCGTCAAAGGTGGCTAGGGCCGAAGGGGGTTCCCTTCAGTCGTTCGGGCCAGGCGCCTGTTCCGGACATTGCGCCCAACTCGATGACTCTCGATGATTCTACGAGACCCGCGATCATCCATTTTCACTCTATTTAAATGCACCGATTACTATTTACACTGCTGCTGCGGTACTGTTTTCCCAAAATGTTTTGAATTCCGCACAAAAACAAAAAGTGGGTTACCACACGTCGAGCCGGTTGTGCGCAATGAGACGCTCGCCATTCTTACTGAATGTGAGCTGATCCACTTGCCCTGGAACAGCACCTCCTTTCGTCAACCTATGCTTGCTCGTTAGTGGTCTCAGAAGTGTACAGAACTTTGAAAATGCCTTAAAATGTAGTGTAGTAAGCCCAGTAATTTTTTACGCCCAACTACAACTGCTCAAGAAGCTCCAAGTATCAACGCGTCTTCTTTCTCATCGCAGTAGCTCCCAGTACGTTTTATGTCTGGCAAAAAATCTCCTGCTCATGCTCAGGTTTTTCGAGCCTGATGTTTCAAGATACCAAACTAATGACGGAACTTGACAAGCCGGCTATCTCAATTCCGAATCTCGGACAGATCGGTGGAAAACACTAGTCTTATTGGTGCGTTTCATATGGAGAGTGTTACCTATCAACGTAAGAGCCTCAGAACTACACTGGTCAATTCGACCGTTTCAAAGAAAGGCCGGTTTACTAACCCATACAGCGCCGAGCATCGATGGGAAACATAACGAGCCCGGTGGTCCTTATCACCTACTCCGCGGGCAGTCGCCAAGATCTTTCGAACTTCTCATTGAAGTTTAGGGCAAATAGAGCCGAGCCTGAAACCTACTTTAGTAGCATAAACTCTTTACAGAAGAGTGGGTTAACTGTTTGATCTTTCATATAAATCAATGGACAATTTCACTCGTTTAGACATCATTACTTAACTTGCATGGAGTATGTGATCAAGAAGAGCTTATCAACAAGGCACTGCTGAATGTGACCCCACTAGGTACTTGGTTAAAAAATTATTTTATATATATCTTGAAACAGGAACCTCAATGCGACAGTGACTATGGCCGATCCATGACCAGTCTTTTGTAGTCGTCGAGATGTCCATTTTGGGGATTTCCATCTACTTTATGATCCAAATATAGTGATATAACGAACAAAGGAAGAATGTCCGGGTGGTCACGTTCAACGGCCGAACGAATTTGGTCAGCTGAGGACGGTGGTCTTGTGACAGGACTTTGGGGGATACGATCTTCTGCGTGCAAGCTTAGAATAGTAAAAGATACATGTGTTGTACTCAGGATCTGTACGAGCTACTGCTTGAGATTCTATATCGACTTCAAGAAAGGTGTTACAGCGTAGGCACGTGTGTCCCAACTATATATTTGTCGGTTACAGCCATCACCCTTCACATATCGAACCATTTATTATACTTCGCCATTGAAATGAATCTATGATGAACAATGAGAAAAATACTTCGTATTATGTGAATAACACCACGTGATTCTATGATGGAAAGCACCAGAGAGATTGAAGATCAGATGTAAGGGATAGAACTTTAATCTAAGCAAATTCCTACAAAAAGCCTTGGATAAATTTGGTTCCACTAATGACCGCAGTTGTATAAGAAATTGTAAAGCCCGCGATGTAGAATGTTATCAGCCTGTCTACAATTTAATGTACATAAGAGTATTGACTATGAATTGTTGGGTCTCGCTTCTTGCAAAGCTCTTGTATGTTGCAGGATTTTGTCCACATTATTAGATTTTGAAATCTCGTCTTGATTTTGATCAGCCACTCCTTGACTTGCATCACTTCTTTCCCCGGTAGAATCTGACGATAAGCCTTCCTCTTCGGCAACATCAACCAGCCGTTCCAAAGACTGCAACTGATCGTACGGAGCTATCTGTAGTTTCCAGAAGAAAATCCGCAGCAAAACGTATTCGATGTCAGAAAAAGACAACATCACTACAAGAAGCGTTCTCACACAAACAGTAAGCCAGCAGCAAAATAAAAGATGATCTCACAAGCTCGATTGCAAGAGTAAATGACTGATACCTGACTGAATCCATCGGGCCAATTGATGGCTACGGCATAATTTCCCATAGGTTGAATACTTTCAGGTTCTATATCTTCTGAAATGTCGTTATATCTTAACCGCTGCTCTCCAGTCCATTCGTCCTGGTGAAAGTATCACAGCTGTCAGGATATATATGCGTAGCTATGCTTTCATAAGTACGGAAATAACAGCAAGGCTTTCCCATACTTGAACAAAACTGTTCCTTGCGTTTGCACTGAAGCAGAACTTGATTTACATTCCACGAATCCAACTGATGCAAGTAAAACTCCCTATAATGTCCGCTTTGGATTATACGGACGGATCATGGCCAAGTGGGTTATGGTGTAAAATGGTAGAAGAGAAAGCATACGTATGCAACAACGCTTAGAGTTTGAACAACCCACATGATGAATGACTTGTTTTTCTGGAATATTATGAAGCTTCCTGATTTTGCTCTGAAATTTTAATCAAATCAGTCGGAGGGAAGCAAGCAACTAGAACAACTACTTGTCAAATTATCACACAAAATGGTACCGACCATCCAACCAATATCGTCATATCCGAGATTGGTGGTCACAACAGTGTTAGTATGAATCCTTCCCGTCAGTGTCATGACTCTCCCGTAACACAAAATAGGCATTGCCTTGACAGCTGAAGTTCGCAGATAAACACATTGAGCTATTCAGACCCGAAGAGATTCATGACTAACTACCTTTTCATCTCTAGTGTTGACAAGGTTTCCAGGATCCATAGTAGTGTACTTTCATCACTTCTGGCTATAGTCGTTTTGTCAAAGGGTCCACCTCATGAAGGTTGACAGAGCTTGCTCGAAACCGGGTCAACTCTTTAATTAAATCTCAAACGAAAGCAAAAAAGGTTCACGTACAATGCTTTGTGCGGAACGATCGTTTCTCCGAACGGTGGCAGGGTGGAGGTAGAAATCATCATCTGTCCCAGGTACTCTGACTCGTATTGCTTTCAGTGTAGAGTCATAAGACACCGCTGTAGCAACTGGGCAAGATAAAGATCCGGATAATGAGACAATGAGTAGCAAATCCCGAACACCTCATAAAATTGAGCAGCTTTTTACAAACATACAATAAAAAGTGTACCGAATTCTAATCCAGAAAAAGATTCATGTAGCCCTACCTTGTTGACGAAGCTTTGCACACTGCTGAACGACGCAGACTCCGATGTTGGAGAATATCTTGGCGACTTCACCTTGAGGATCTACTACTACTTCAGGGCTTCCAGTATCTCCGGCCGCTGATAGCTGCATGACGACCGATACAGGAGAAGAACCTCAGCAAGTCAAAGAATATTTCTTACTTAGAGCTCAACAACACTTCGAAGAATGAGAACGGAATATTAAAAGCGCATTGCATTTGAGACAAAGTTTGAGTCAAAGGAGTCAATTGAGTCAAAAGAGAGAACCGCCCAACGATGGACTTTTACCATTGTAAGTACCAAACACCCTGGAATTCATTTTAACGACAAATTCAAGAATAGCTCACACATATACAGCTGCTCTCTGCCTGAAATCATTTTAAGTTCCTCTCATGGCCTCAAGGCTGTAGACCCCGTACACGCTCATGCACAGCGTGCTGACGTAAGAAGATTCGATACTTCGAGATGAAACGAGAGATTTCTCCATGTGTCAGATAAGTTTTCCCAATAACTATGACAGCTCATCTCAAAGGGCAAGAGCAACGACATCATAAGCTTCAGGATATAAACATAATCAACTTATGAAAAAGCAAACATAGACCAATGACCTAAACTTCCTATGGTGCAGACGTGAAAGTGGTACTCACTTCTGGTCGTATAGGAAGTTCATAAAGATGAGGGATTCCAAATTGTTGAACAACCTGTTACAGTTTTTATAAAGTGGTCAGAAAAATGACTTATTGCTACAACACGGTCTCACGCTCTAGACACGCTTGCTGACGGTTACGGATGAATACCGACTTACCAAAGTGAAAACGGATCTATCTTCTTCTTCCTTATTCAAATTTTTGAGAACATAAGCGCATCATGTTCCCAGCAAAAGAATTACAGAATGCAAGACTAAAACTTCGATTTTCAAACAATTTAGAAGTTTCTCCTTCACTAAAGCTGGACACCGACTGATTGATTCAGCTTCGGCATTTCTTATCCCTTGCCTTTTGTACACAACACGTAGAAGAAAGCGGGGAATGCTGTTAGTGAATCAATAAAACAATGTTCTTGAATCTTAAATCTTTGATGGAATCTTAATAACTAACCTCGGCACCAGAGCCTTTGCCGAACGGATAGTATCTCTTTCCATCGGCATCGAAATAGCACATGTTCTCCACTACAGCTATACATGGGACCTGCACAACGAGCAGAAGTTCTGTACATTATTATTTAGCATAAAAGCCCATTTCGAACTGGGAGCTTGATATACCTCCAGAATGACCATTATGAGGTATGCAATAGTCGGACATGTAGGTCTCACGTGCTTCTGTATGATATAGGATTAGCACTTATTTCCTGTTTATGCCTCTTTCCACCTGAGGAGGCTTTATGCAGTCATACAGCGTGGAGGTCCTACATTTACGGTAAACGTTCAGGGTTTAGGGTGAAGGTCTCCGCGTATCCAAGATAGGTATTCTTGAGTTAAAGAAAAGCCACGCCCGGTCAATAATAAGAATTAATTTTCCTTACTTTCAGCTTTGAAAACATGCGAATGCCCTTGGCCACGTCAATAAATGCCAGCTTCTGTGGTGTTGTTACGATAACAGCTGCTGTGAGTGGCACCACCTGCATACAGATAAATTCCAATCAATATACACTCCAGAAATTTACTGAGAGCTAAAACTTTCGACCATCGGGCTAAAAACCCCTGATACGAGTTGTAGCACCGGGTAGGAACCGTGTTTCGCGTGGCAACCAAATCTCACATATATTAGACAGAACATGGCCATGATAACAGACATCGAGAAGAGGCGCGTAAGCAGAACAGAGGTCTAAACCCCAAAAACACTAAAAAGACTACCGGCAACATCAAAGCTGTTCTAGAGGCTACCGGTAATCACTGCAGAAAGATAAATCCTCATTCCAGAGACCCTCGGAAGATGGCCTAAGAGTCCAGTCAAGAAAGAATAACCGACGTATACCTGGCACAGAGTCAATTGAATGTCACCAGTCCCAGGAGGCATGTCTATGATAAGGTAGTCCAACTCACCCCTGCATAGCCCATTGCCTAAGATCAGTCTTCTTCTTCGTGGCCTCGGCTTGGATTTAACTACATCTGACTTATAACTTTACAAACCAATCCTACTTTGAGTTTGTGTAAACAAAAATGTAACCGTAGAACAGCACTGGGAATCTATGCCGACATACTTAGAACATTCAAGTAACTCACCAATCTGTTGTAGTCAATAACTGATTGATGACACCAGACACCATAGGCCCTCGCATAATGGCACTACCCTGGCCTGCGAATCCAAACGAGACTAGTTTCACTCCCATGTATTCTGTCGGTATTATAGCTCTCGTCTCAGCGTCCTGCTTACATCAGAGGGTTGCAAGCATCAAAAGAAGTATATATGACCAAATCGGACCACTGTCTTGTGTCTACTTAGTCAGAGACCATAACAACCGATTAGTCTCCCAAGAAGCCACCAGCGAGGAGATAGTTTCCTGACAAGCATATGATCTGGAGATACGAACCACCATACCAGATCAAAGGAGTACTACTTTACCTTGATTTAGTTTACATTATACAAATCTTGAATTTTTGTTCGATCTGAGCTTCTATACTATGACAAAATAAGTTTTTTTCATACTATGACAAGCTTTGAGCAATGTGCATCGCTTGAAGGTGAACTCTCGAAACATCACTCACCATTTGCAGGACTCGAGTTTCTGGGGACACCATAGTTGGAAGGCTAGGACCGTACACATCCGCATCGAAAATGCCGACTCTCGCACCCATTCCTGCTAGAGAATATGCCAAATTGACTGCGCATGTTGATTTACCAACTCCACCCTGTGGGTGAAGCCCGTGCAAGAAGTACGATAACCAACATGTTTAAATATCAATTAACAAAGATATCAGGATGTCCTTAAAGAATCCCCTGTTGTACAATGATAAGCTGCTTAAGGACCAGATATATCAAATGATCTCCTGAGTTTTACAGATGCCGCCATCGTTATAGACCAAAATTCTATGAAATAACTTCATGACACTTAATAACTACTCTTCCCTTCCTCCTCAGTCCAATCAACCCAATTTTTCTCACCGAACGAGAATTCTACAACATACGACCAGCTGCGTGCGAACACCCTTGCTATTAACAAAACATCAGACGTACCTTACAACTTGAAACTGCTACAACGTTTGAAACGCGTTGCAGCCCCTTCGGAACGTTCTCAACAAGTATTGGTTTAGCTGGTTGTGAAGATAAGGCGACCACCACATCTTTTACCCATGGCAAACCCCCCACCTTGTCCTTCGATTCTTGCAGAAACTGGTGATATTGTACAATGATATAGTTAGTGTTGAGAGCTGTGACGACTATACGACTCACCGCTCTACTCAAGAAATTCGACAGAAACAGTGGCAAACGTTAAAATTACAAAACCGAGTGTAGTCAGGCAATGAAAAGGTTTTTATACCATGTCTTTAACAGGACAAGCCGGTGTTGTAAGTTCCAGCACGAATGAAACCTGATACAACAATTGCGAAACAAGATAAAAAGTCGGCACTGTCAAACAATGTTCAATGACTGCACCCTGTATGCACTACCGGGAAGACCGTTATCAGCTTCTTCTGCAGGACTCAACTTCAGCACAAAGGGCAGATCCACTTTCAAATGGGGCTAATTTTAAGGGTTGTGAAAGTGGCTTTTCCCCGATGAGAAACAGATGCACACGACGATCTGTTTTACGATAATACCAGCTCAATGACCGGCCGAAAGCCTTTGAATACAGTCAGATTGTGCAATGTCTTCTGGATGGTTGCTAAGTAAGAGTGGATGAAATTAAAAATCAAGTTATTCAAATTTAGCTCTGAGTCTGTGTGAATATGCTGTAAATTACCTTGCCAGTGGATTCATCAATCTCTAAGTTCTTAACAAATCCACACGACACAATATCCGTTCCGAAGTCAGGATCAATGATCTGAGAGAGTTTTTCAAGAACTTCCTCTTCAGACGTTATGGTCGAATGTTTTGAAGAAGACGCAACTGCGCAGCCACTTTCAATTCGTTAATCAGCTCAGACCAAATGTACAACATGACGTGTGGTTTGTATTCCGGCGCAGAAAGTTATAATCAAAGTAACAAGCCAAAGCACTAACGATATCTTAGAGCCACACCTGCAGACGCTTTTGAAAGCGTTGATTTGTGTTTGAAGTTAACTCTTTGCTCCTTCAGAGGACGCTGCTGTGACGAGGTGTAATTGCCACCTACAGCACTTGATTTTAAGACGAAATCTTGAAGATGTTGCGCGTGGCGACAACGGAGAATGGGTGTTCTTCTGGGGCCAGAGGTAAAATTCGTTCTTGCCAACGACCTGAAACTCTCTCCAGTGGCAACGACTTTGGTGCCAACTTCTAGCGCCACAAGGCACTGACCTTTGACGACGAGCAAAGCATCTCCTGTTCGAGTTCTACAATTCAAGCAAGTAGATAAACAATGAGCCATTGCCACAACGCTGTGGCCTTCTGCGAGTTTTCACCAGATAGCGACCTCCACCACCTTCTGCGTTCGAAATTCGGAAATTATTGCATTCCTGCGTTCGAACTCCTCAAGTAAAGCTCGACTGAGCTCAAAAGTGTGAACACCTCTCGAGGCGGGATCACGAATCGTAATCCGGAAGGACATCCGTGGTCACGGGGCGGTAACATATCCACAAGGGAAAAAGGCTCACCTGGACTACTGGATGTCAGGGCAACAAATCCGCTGCTTGGTGGTGGGGCCAACGAAAACTCCCGGCAGAATATGCAGACAGTACTGCAAGACTCGGAAATTCCGAATCGGCAGAAAATCACTTCCGAGTACCCAATTGCGATCATCGACCGGCGATCTCGCCTCTTCCCGTCTTGGCCGGTCATATTCCTATACGCTTATTGATAACCTGGTGACCCGTGGAGAAACACAAACACATAAAGTTGTCCTGTTATAAACAAAAAGTACAGAGTCGCAATAGTTTGAGAGAGAAGTCACCATATTACTGAGTCCATCGTTGAAGGGGAAACCGAACGCTCGTACAACCTGGTAACCGGTGGAGAAACACTTTCAGGGGCGGCGTTTTCATAGCCTTTCTGCCAGTGGTCGCATTGCTTTGAAATTCAAATTCCTGCCACAGTTCACGACTCGAGGACATTTGCAGCACTGCAGTCCCTACGCTTGAACTTGGTGGACAATGCTCTTGAACTCAAAAGACTGCTCTGGTTGTATGGAATAATCAGGGATAATACAGTGACGAATGGCACCTGCTACTGGAATCTTCAGAATGTGGGTTACTCTGAAGTGATTTATTGGGTACTCATAATTTAAAAAGCTCACTTGGATGTAATCTGCAGACCCAGTTTCACCTTTAATCTCTCTTGGGATCTGGACGAAGTAGTCGATATACTACGAGCTCCCCACTTATGGTTATAAGTGGGGAGACCCTTGTGTTATGAAATATTGAAGGTGTAATTCACATGAGCTTAAAGCATACCACCGCTGTCACAAATTAATTAAATGCCAAAAATTTACCACATCGGATCACCCTGGTATTTAATTTGAAGTACCAGAAAAGTAAGAATTCCACGCGATTTATAGCTGCCACATACAAAAAAGTAAGATGCGTTATACATACAATGTAATTCTTCTGCTCTCCTCACTCCCGCGCAATTTCTATGTATGTTTTTATGGATATATGAATGTATTTCTTTTCCAAAGTCCCCTATATATAGCTCATGATGAAATCATTACATGATCAAATTTGTCGATATTTCTTATATATTGATATCAAAATGACTTTTTGAAAATATTTAGCACGATGTTAAAATAATATACATGCATGTCAACAACAAAGAAACATACGTTTAAGATATAAATTTATTTAATAAAATTATATAAATTTAATAATAACTAAAAATATTAAAATTAACATCACAATAATTATCAGGCTTCTATATTTTATATGTTGTGTTAGAATAATATACATCCATGTCAACAACAAGGAGAATTAATTTTTAGATCTAAATTTATATAACATCTTGATTTAATTTATTAAAATTACCATCACGATAGTTATCAAGCTTCTATATTTTATAATACTTGTATTGAAATCTGGTGCTAATTTATCCTAATTCACTTGAATCAACATCTCAAAATTACACATTTGTGCATAATAATGTATTTGTATATTTCCAACAAATTTACATTATTTGTTGCAAATATTCGCTAATTCAATGAGGTTAAGACAAGTTTTGCATTAGATATTAGTAAGGTTTTGAAACAAAATGTTATTGAAAAATATTGTAAAACAAACCGTATAATGATAACAGTAATTTTTTTAATAGTTTTTATTTTCTATGCTTAAAAAAATATGCATGTATATTATGAAAATAGTAATAGTAATATATTAATATAGTTTTTTGGGGTCATACTGCACGGATTTCTGAATTTAATTTATTTTAATATATGCAAAATGGCATAAAGGCACTTTACATTACAATGTAAAAAAGACAACACATTAATAAACTTGAAAGATCATATAAAAGCTATTACTACGATTTTTTTCAATAATTTTTAAATAATAATGTTAATCCCAATTTTTGTAATAATCAAAGTGTTATATATATGTGAATAATGTGAACTAAAGTTTAAATTATTTTGTGCATATATGGATGTTGAGATATAAAGATTTACATTGAAAGTACGTGGTTTGTGTATCTTGAAACTCAAAGCATGAGTATCAAGATAAAATAATAATATCATTTGGTATTTATGATCAAAAAATGCTCATATAATCTAGTTGTAGGATGTAATGCAAGTATATAAACCAAGAGTTATATCATTGCATTTGCAAGTAGTGTATCAATGACATAAAACATTTTTGGTAATATTTGTTTGATGTATTTTGAAAATTTGCACATGCAATTAAAGTTTTTTCTTAATGTAGAGTATGCATAGTTTGTGAAATTACGCTTTAATGTGAAACGTTGTTTGAAACATAGGTTATAATTAGATTTTTCCAAAATATAAAACTATCCAGATTATTCAAAATATTAAATTATTGAATATCTTATAAATTTTCTTTCAAATGTTGGATTTCAAAATAATTGATTGATGAAGATTGATAAATGTTGAATCTTTATGGAATGTAATTGTTCTAAATGTAAAAAGAAATATTATTTGCATGAAATTACATAACATTTGAAAGCTTTACTAACTTTTGAGAATCATGTATCGATAGAAGTAAACAAACTAAATTCTAAATATCAAGATGTGATGAAAAAAAGATCTTCATGCAATATAGCGATAACATGAAAATTAGATAAAGCAAAACATAAAATGCAATAATTAGGAACTCATCAAATGTATGTTTGAAAGCAAAAGCATGACAAAAAGACATCAAAACAACACGTGTAACCATTAAACTAAAAAATTCATTCTTTGTATCAATTATATGTTTTTTTTTTTAAATACAACATCATTCATTAGTCCATTTCAAACAATTCAAGCAAAATATTAGCATATATTATATTCAAATGTATGTGAAGTTTTTGCCAATAAACCTAGAAGTCGATAAAAAAAATATAATTTAAAAAACAACAAGATTTAACATAAGGAAAAAAATATAATTATCAACACCATTCATATGATTTATTTTTACCAATCTTTTTTTCTGACATCATATTTAAATATTATTTCAAAAATATATAAGATACATGTAATAACCCACCAAAGGCTAAAACTGCAGTATAGCAGCAAAAAGGTCGAACCCACAAGGACAGAGGCAACACACATAGTACAAAGTGTCACGTTTAACAGACTATTGAAGAGTTTGAATTCTAAGGCGACTGTCACTCCCAGAAATACTGCAAGTGCTCAACTCAGAGGACGCACAGTGCAGCATAGTTCACTCAACACACACCTGAAACTGAAAAAGCACAACTCAGAGGTCGATTAGGACCTCTACTTAAGATTTCAGGGGGAAAGTTTCTCACGAGTACATTCAAAGGCTTTGCAGGTAGTGACTCCCAACTCGGCTTTTACGATACTTCCACTAGTTTCTGCTAGCGCAGGGCACCCAGGTTGGACTTCCTACTTCGGATGCGGTATCTTCGTCAAACCAAAGTCACTCACACGCGGTGAACAACACACTTAACCCACAAAACGCGCAGAGAATACAGGTCCAAACTGAGAAACTCAACTGAGAAAAGATCTAGTGGCACACCATAACAGTCTATTGACGAGTTTGAATTCTCAAGCACTAGTCATTCCCCGAAATACTATAGAGGTTTGCCCCAAGGGCGCCTTCTGCAGTGTAACCTGAATTACAACCAAGGCTTACTCGAAGTAACAAAACTTCACTTTGGCATTCAGTGGAAACATCGCGAAGGAGTACAAACAGGAACAATCACCCGAAGGTGTAAGGACGAACTGTTCAAGTCTCTAACCAGTTATTAGCTCTGAGCATTCAACAATCACCCGCAGGTGTAGATCCAAACTGCTCAAGTATCTAACCAGTGCACTGGCTCTGAACATTCGGCCGAAGGCCTTCAGCTACAAAATGCGGTATCTTCGTCAAGCTGTAGCTCCTCTTGCGCGGTGACAGAACTAAGAACACAAACACGCAGAGAAAATGAGTTCCTGATCTGCACTTCCGAAACTGGAAAAATCCCAAGGCAAGACGCCTTGAACTACTTTATACCTTCTAAGTCCTAACTAACACTACACTACACTACACTACGCTGCAGCACCCTGCAGATCATGTATTGTGCCTTCTGCGCGACGGACTGCCGCACACTAACTCCCTACCCGACCAGTCTTTAGCTCGACTGCGCAAGCCCAGCCGCCGCATCACCGCACTCACCTCCGTCTCGAGGTCTGCCATGGCATCCCGTGACCTTGACAGATACGCATCCAGCTTCTTAGCCACTCGCCGCCGGCTCCGACTGTCACCCGACATCAAACCCGCCGCACGAAGCTCTAACTCGCGCAATGTGAGTTTTTTTCTGCGCAGCCACTTCCCAGAGGATGTAAACTCTGAGACAATGGTTGACTCGCTTCACCAACTCTTCCTTCGTGCAATCTGACTCTCGCCGGCGATCATTTTCAACCACTACCAACTACAACTCTTCGTCCGCACGCTGCGCTCTCAATTCGCCGCATTCCGATTGCAGTTTGCGGATTAACTCTTCATCCGCCCGGCGTGCGAGCTGACACTGCTCTAGCAACCGTGTCTGCCGCACGAGCTACTCTAACAAAATTTGATTCTGAGTCTGCTCAAAATCCAGCTCATCCACGAGCTTCGCTTTCTCCTTGGCAAACTCCTTCTTCGCCTCCTCAAACTTCTCATCGCGCACCTGGTCGACGACCTTCTGCAGCTTCCGCGAAAGAGCAATGTGATCACGCAAGTGCTCGTTCTTCAATTGCAGATCCTTAATGTCTCCATCCAAGCGTGCCAACAACTTGCTAGTGTGGACTTTAGTGCGAGTCCGTCTGCACACTAATTCGACGTAGGACCCAGGTTGACGGGGGTCTGCGTACTTCGTCACCTTGCGATCGAGATACCTTAGCAGAGGTACCACCTGCTCGCATAGTGCCGCCGTCGGCGTGCCTGCCACCGATTGCTCCTCCTATTCGTCCGAGCCCGATTCTCCTTCTCCCTCATCCTCCGAATTGAGGATTTCTGTCGCCACTGAATTCCCTGGCGATTCCCGGGAGTTGGGCTGCGT